GTTTTTTTGGCCATTTGTATAACTCATACATCTCAATGTATGTTACATGACCAACGTAAATATGATGTGGAAATTATGAAACTGGCCAAACTATAAAAATTACAAATCGATTTTATTCCCACAGAGACCTAGTTTAGTATGTGCCCTGCAATACCTCACATTTACAAGACCATATATAGCATATTTTGTCCAACAAATATGTTTCTTTATGCATATACCATGTGATATGCATTATAATGTCTTAAAACGTATTCTATGATACTTAGGGGTACCCTAGAACACATATTACATCTTTTTTCATATGCATGATTAATTGATTTCTTATCGATTAGGGTGACTACCCTAATACTCGATTATATACCTTATGATACAACATTTTTTGGGCAACAGTCTTATTCCACGGTCTGCGAAACGACGACCTACCTTGTCCCGATCTAGCACCGAATCTAAATATTATGGGGTCACCAATGTAGTCTCTAAAATATGTTGGTTGCACAATCTTCTTCTAGAGTTTCACGTTCCCCTGAGTTGTGCCACATTGTTATATTATGACAACATATCAACAATTCACTTCTCCGAAGGTTTGATTCAACACCACCAGACCAAACATATCGATATGTAGATACAATTTGTATTATAAAATGTTTCCCTTAGCCATATAATAGACCTTCACATCCCATCCACATACTAGTATCTATATATTTTCACAAAAGGGTTGCCTCATCCGTTTTTCATTAGCTTCAGATCCAACTTGAGTGCCCGTCCACCTCCCAATCAAATTGTGGGGTCTTGTTAGCCGACTTATAATAAAAATGTATTATATTTATCTTGTAAAATCATATCCCATAAGTATCAGGGTCTCTATTGTGAAATTGATATATAGTCGATCATAAATGAGAAAATGGCATAGAGTCATTCCCAACAATACATACATATATAAATAAAAACCCTAAACTATTTTCATGTTAAAAAAACATGATCTTATCCAAAAAAATTTGGTAAAAACTTATTAATTTTTTCCATTTAAGTGATGTAGAAAATAAATATGATGTCACCAATGACATGGGTGGTCTATGTCACCCCTTTGATATCCTATAATGTATCGATACACAAAACTCGATCATCAACCGTGTCATTAGCAAACATCACAGTCGATATTGTTTTACATCTTGATACATTATAAGAGGTCAAGGGATGACATGGACAACTCATGTTATGAGCCATAATTGTCAAATTATTAAATAAAACCGATAAATATAATTGTATCAAAAATTTGGATAAATCGGTAGGTAAAAAATAATGTGTCTTTGTCTAGACAAGAAAATAATAATATGTTTTTTTTTAATATGTTGCATAATAGCTTGTGTTTTAATTCTTTTCCCTTCTTTTAATGGTTAAATGAGCATCTATATTTTCTTTATATTACGTAACAAAATAGTATTTATACACACTATGTGACAGTGTTTCGTGGTATAATCAAAAGACATGATATTTGAGAAGTAACAACAAGATGGTTGCAACATCCATTTCAGTTTTATAAGTTGATAAACAACTGAAATAAGATCTCACTATTGGATTTTCATCTCCTTAATGCTAAGTCAAACATAAGGGGAACAAAATACAAACCTGGAGTTGCCGGGAATACTGTTCAACAAGGACTTTTGCATATTCCTCAGGCGTATATTCAGAACTCGTCTCATAGTAATTGGGAACAAAGTAGTTGCTAATGTAATCGTTGTTCCCCATCCCAATAGTATATATGCACTGGTTTAGGTATTTTCTTGTCACGTTAAAACTTCCTTTTCCATTCAAGGTGGAGAGTTGTGAAATCGTTATCCGATGGTTGATTATCTGCTTGTTTAAGCTTATTCGATAACCCTGCAATGACCAATTATCGTTATGTAGGTCACTCGAGTATGAAATGAGAAAGCAATTGTTAAGTGAGAGATTCGAACTCATTAAGGATTTTGATTTATAGTTTAATAATCAAACCATTGGAGTGTCATTTAATATAGTGATACTTAGGTTAACAATGTGATACTTAGGGGAAAATTCATAAAAAAATATCATGTTTTTGACTAATGATATAAGTTGAAAATTTGTTTTTAAAATTATCCACAGTTTTCATGGACCAAATTGTTTATTCATGTATTATGTTTTCTTGTTTAGTTACTAATTATTATTAAATTAGTAACGAAAATATTCTAAACGCTTTGATCTATAAGGCTATACATATAAGGATATCTGTAGATTTTAAACTCGTTTGACCTAATTCAAGATATAGCTAACTTTCTAATTTGTGTTTAAATTTAAGTTTTTAACATGTTTAACTCATTTTTATTTTTCAACAAACATAATCATAATATTGTATATTTTGATCGAGAACCAACATAATTGTATGTTTTTTTATACAAAATAAAAACATAACGATCATTACGTAAACCGAATTTAACCTAAAATCTAAGGGGGCGTTGGCTCACATAATAATGTTCAAAAAGGAATTGAAATCTTTTCAATTAACTAGAATCTAGGGAGTTAAAATCCTTTTGAATTTGAATTTATTTTGAATCTCTAACGCGGTTGGTTAACATAAATTATTTGTTCGATTTGTGTTTGGTTTGAAAATCTTGGCGTGAGATTATTAATAAAAAATCGAACCATAACCAAATTAACTGATATAACCGAATCAATTTAACCGAACCACTACAAAAAGATATTGTACAGTTTCTAATTTTGATTAACCGAAAAAATATGGTTCAGTTATGGTTTTCATCTAAAACGAAACAACTATAAACCGAACGAACCAATAATATAATAAATGTTTTTAGTATAATATAATATTAAATATATGGTATGTAATTATTTTAAGAATTTAAAATTTTAAAAGGTAATTAATTGGAATTAAATATGATAAATAATCTTCTATCAATACAATTATATATACATAATCATTCACTTTTTATAACAATGAATTTTATGTTTTACAATTTTTATAAAAAAATATTTTTATTTTTATGTCATCTTGGACCATTATGGTTAACCGATATTAACCATTAACCAACTAAAACCGTTAATCAATACTAATATTAACCGCTATTCAATGGTTATCGAAATACATTAACCAATTGTAATGGTTATGGTTCGGTTTTGACCAATAACCGAACCAATCCGCCCCAATGAAAATCTATCAAAAAAATTGAGATGTAAAACATGCAAATCAAATAAACTATCTTTTATTAATTATTTTTATTATATCTCTGTTCGTAAAAATGACTAAAATTACCATATACCAAAAAAAAAATTATATATGTTTTTTTACAAACAAAAATTGTATATGTTTTTTTTAACAAATAAATCATTTTTTGATGTTTAAAAACCTTGGTTTAAAAAAACTCCAAAACACTAAGAGCATCCACATCGGTCTTGCAAACCCCTCTTAAAACCAAATTGAATGCCATATAGGATGAGCCCTTGCAAAGGCAAACTCTATGGCCCACATAGATATTTAAAATTTAATACAAGGGATATCTTTGATTTTCTAAATATTTTATGAAGACTGTTTTGATTTTAAATTGAAAGGCAAACCAATTAAAGCTTGATCATACGAGAAATATTGTACATATACTATCCGATTAAATATAAAAAATATCATATTAAAACGATATTTACAAAAAAGAATACAAGTGATATTTTTATGTAAATATAATATTTTTCTTTCTATTAGAACTTTTGTTACATTAGTTATTTTATTTTTAAATTCGTAAATTCATCTTATAAAAAAAATAGTACTCTATCAAATATATGGTTCTTGTTTTTTTTACTCCAGTAACCAATATATATATATATATATATATATATATATATATATATATATATATATATATAAAGTGTTTTTTGAATAATTAATAATATATAATATTTGTTGAGGTGACACTTTTGGAAGAGTGTTGTTATTGCAGTGGTGTGAGATATAATTGCAAAACTGATGTGACACAATTGAAAGATGAGTGACATTGCAGTGATGTGGAAGGCCTAAGAGCATCTGCTTCGTGTCTTTCAATTTAATTTGCAATGCCATCTGTCAATTTTCCGCCAGACACGTTGACATGGTGTTTCAATTAGGGCTGACAAAATTGTACCACAGAAAACCAACCACCATGCTACCAACCAAACCAAAAAAGTTGGTAGCCAACATATTTGGTAACCAACATGGTTGGTTGGTAATACCGTACCAATTAAACAATATTGACACAATAATAGTACAAAATTTTGAATATCATGGTAATACCATACCAACCAATTCATGTATATATATATATATATATATATATATATATATATATATATATATATATATATATATATATATATATATATATGAAATCATATATTTTAACCGGTAACTATTTTTAGTATGTATAGTTTTAAGAACATTATATAAGTCATTTGCTCGTATTAGTCAATAGTTATTAGCGCGTTAAGGCAAAAAATTAAAACGTTAGTTTAACGTTATTTCAATAGAATTCTTTTGTAAACTAAAAGAACTATATAACTAATTTTTATACTAAACATAAAAATTACTCGATGTCATTGCTTATTTTTAAATCTTAAAATAGAAAATTAAAAGAATTTGGTATATACCATTACCAATTTGTACCAATCAAACTTATTGGTAGCCAAATATATTGGTACCAAGTATACTTGGTACGGTAGCTGTAGAAGTTTTTTATACCAATTATACTTTGTACGGTACACGGTTTAAAGAAAAAAGAATTGGTACCGTATCAAATCCACCCTTAGTTTCAATATACGAAAGCCTTACAAAGAGAATTAGTAATGATTGCTTATTGTATTATATTTAATATCACATATATTTACATAAATTTTTATTAAGTATTCAGTTGTATAACTATTAAAAATGATTAATATCTAGAAATGGAAATTATAATTAATATGATAAACGTATCATTATATCAAAATATAAACTTACGTCGGGTCATAGGCTTAATTAAGCACCCCTATTAAGACTAAAAGGAGTGATGTCAGTCCATGTTATTATTTTGGATAATATTATACTTTGCTCTTCAAATTGTTTCGTATACCCTCTTATAGTGGAAAAGTATGTATAACCTCCATGTTATTATTTGAATCTACTTGGAGTACCAAGCCCTAATTGACAAACACAGGGGATATCGACAGATGATGTCAGTATCTTGGAGTTCCAATCTTGCTCAGCTTCTGGATTCGAGTTTATGATGCAGGACCAAAAGAGAAGATGTTGTTGATAATTCACTCAGGTTTTTTCTCCCTCTACTCCACACTCAGTTACTCAGGTTCATCTGTTTTTTTTAGTAATTTATATACTTTTATCACCATTTTGTGCATAGGGTTGGTTCCGCTAAGAATAAGTGGTCGTGGATTGAGTTCTGTCTTGGGATTGACGTTGACTATTGACCAGGTTTTCCATTCCATTCGATTATATTTCTATAACTTGGTAATTTTGAACTCTAGATCAGAAATTCAGATGAGGTTTTGGATTGCTTGTGTGTTTTTGTGAGATTCTACACTTTTTAGTGGTAACACAATTCTCTATTTGATGAAAGTCCAATGATGATTTTTGATTACCATTAGCAAATTTTAAGAGTGGAGTGTGAATATCGAAGAGTGTGTACCAAATTAGCAAATTTTAAGAGTGGCTTGTGAAAATTTCAATAATACTTTTTTGGTCCTCTAATTAGAGAACAAATGGCGTTATATGGCTACTGTACTAGATGAGATGGGTTTTGATCAAGGCAACGTTGAAAGAAAGACAATAATTCAAGTAGATGAGTTCAGGTGACCCCTCCAACAGTTGCCAAATCAATAATATGTGAAGTTGCATCTGTTCTATGAAGGTGATTCAAATATCCAATAAATTTTCTATCTACTTTCTAAATTTTGCCTCTACATACATTGTTATGTTATTGTTTCTTATACATTAAACAAAATTATCCATTTTAGAGCTGATGATGAGTTTATTTGTCGATAGGTGAAACGTATTCATGAATACAAGAGACAGTTGTTAAATATCTTGGGAATTCTTTACCGATTCAAGAGGATGAAAGAAATGGCCGCCATTGAGAGAAAAGACAAATTTACCCCTCGAGTCTGTATATTTGGAGGGAAAGCGTTCGCCACATATACACAAGCCAAAAGAATTATGAAACTCATCACAGATGTTGGGGCAACCATAAACCAAGATCCTGACATTGGGGACTTAAACGTAAGTAACGACAATTGACGAAATTGTCCTTTATTGATTTTTGTTAACAAATTTATTTAAACTTGCAAAAAATATTTAAATTACCATCTACTAATACGGTTTAGAAAGGGTATTTCCATCATTTTGTATAAATGAGGGAGGATTGGAGTTAACTCCCATGCGTTTATTGAAGGAAAATTGAATTTCTTAACCTATTATTAGCTTTTATGAATTCCAACAGAATTCAATTATGTATTCATTTTTGCAATCAAACGCCAGAATGGAATGCAATTGAATTCCATTTCACTCCACTTCATAAGGAATCAATCAATCCTCTTATTTCTCTGATAATTTTGGTGAAAAAGGAGTTTACTTTGCTATGACTTGTGTTGACTTTTTGAGAGTCAACTGTTACAGGAGTCAAATGGTAAAAATATAGAGAATCGACAAGCATCCAAGGAAGATTTTCCAAGTGCATCTCCATTTTCAGGTTCATTTGGGGAAATCAAGCAAGAGAAGGAACATTCTCCACTTCCTAAAACTGATTACACTCCATCTACAGCTGACTTGGTTGACTTTGTAGCTAAGTCAACTGTAGAGAAGAAGACTCCTGTTGAAGATTTGAAAACGAGTCATAAACAGGAAATGTCAAACCCATCTAGGTTTGTTTCTACTTCCTCAAAAATTGTAAACTATGATGCATCATTTGGTATGATGCAATGAAAGAAGCCATGGAATGGTTCATTCTTTGGGAATGAAAGAAAAAAAAACCATTTAAATTTGTCTGAAGAAATGGAATGAATAGTTCTTGAAAGATTGTGATTTTCCATCATGGAAAAGAATGAAAAATGGCAATATTGCCCATTTTTATTTATGTCATTTCAATCACATATATCTTTACTTTTGTAATTTCATGATGTTAATTAAAGTGTACTTTTATCTTCCAAAAATAACTAGAACATATATTTTTTATTATGACCTTATATGGGTTCTAATGTACATAAAAAATTCATTAATCATAATTATATAAATTTTATTACTAAACCCATGTTAAATACATGTGGGTTGATTTGAATCCGTCGCCAATTCATCCTTATGTTGCTTCCTAGAAGATACTACTTGCAGATCAGGTGAAATACATGATTATAACTTCTTCCTAAACCTATTTATCATTAGTATTGTCGATTGGTGTCTAAGGTTTGTAACATGTTCGATTTTAGATGGATTTGATGTGTATTTTGCTCATTTTCCCCAATTTTTCTATGTTTTATTTTATTTTTTTATTTTTATTTTATTTTTTTATTTATGATTTATTTGATTGATTTTTCGTTATTGTTCATCATGCATCGTCTGTGTTTTAGGTGGAGGACAACTAGGACGCATGCTTTGTCAAGCAGCTTCCCAAATGTCAATCAAAGTCAACATTTTGGATCCTATGGTCAACTGCCCTGCAAGTTCCATATACAACCATCATATGGTGGGAAGCTATGACAATAGCGTCATAGTTGAAGAATTTGCTAATAGGTCAAAGTCAACATTTTGGATCCTATTTTGGTCGACATGTCCAAACCTAACCTAACTTTTCTATATATGTGTGGAATACTAACAGTTGAAATTGAGCATGTTGACGCTGATGCCCATGTGAATGAAATCAATTGTGCAGACAAAGTTTTCAAAATCATCGACTGAATTGACTATTAATGCCCCATTATAAACATTAGTATATTTTATCACCAATTTATGTAATTTGAGCTAGCTCTGTGTTATATTTTTTTCCAAAAAGAAAAGAAAGTTTACAAATTAATCATCATCTAAATATGTAAAAAATAAATTAAAGCACTTTAGAGGATTTTTGTTGCCATCCCTTTGGTCACTTTTATTTTTGTATGAATTTTGTTGCTCATGACAACACTGGAATAGTCAAATGTTGAAATTTAACTGAAGCATATTTTTTGCGTATCCAATCCCGCAACGCAGGGACTCTTCCCTAGTTATTAGCTAATTTAAAAAAATGCAAGAAAAAGCATAAGGAAGGATAGGAACTCACACCATCCAGACATAAAACATTAAAAAACTAAGCTAGTATCATAGTACTAAATTGTCGCCACTTAATACTTTCTTGCACAAAAAGTCAAAAAATAAAAATAATTTTTTTTTCCAAGTGAGTTTTTGCCTCAAATTAGGGAATGCCTCTAAATTAGCTAACCATTCGCGGGTACCATATAATTTTGTCAAGTTAAAAGAAAAGAAAGAATAATACAAATATATATTTTTTATAGTAAAAGTAAAAAACTCAAACTCCAAGTTGTATGGTTAAGATAAATTTACTAAAAACAAAAACAAAAGAATATGTGCTCAATATGGTTAAATTGTATAGTTAAGATAAATTTACTAAAAACGAAAGGATAATATCATTGTAGCACAATAAATTTTTTCTGTTTGTCTAATTTGGTCATTAAAGTTTTTTGGCACATTAGACCAGTAAAATCATGTTTTATCTATCAGTTAAACCATTTTGATCAAAATTAACCGGTTACCAGGTCACAAAACTAATATGACATTTAATAATTAATTTGTCTTTATTATTTGGTAGCCACATCATTTAATCCACATATTTATTTTTGATTTTTAAAATTAAGATAAATGTAATTAACCCTAAATCTACGGTCTTTATTATTTGGTAGCCACGTCATGTTTTACCCGAGCACTCTCCATCAACACCCAAAATTTCTTCCCTAAAATTCATCCTCTACACCGTCGTCCGCCTCCCATAAATCCATCTCTCGCTACAATATAGATTTTGCTTTTTCAGTCCACCAGAAAATCGATCTCACTCACACCAGAACTCGATCTGTCCCACAAACCCATAAATCGATCTCTGATTGCAGCAAAAATTGATTTTTGATAATTTATCGTTTAAGAAAAATCAAACCCGCCATCGCAGATGTTTTCTTCTTAGATGTTCAGAAATCTATGTTCTATATTTGTATTTGATTTTTTTCTTGTATTAGACAAAAGAGGATGGGAACGGTAGGAAATCAAACATTACTGGTGTATATAAGTCTTCCCTTATCTTACCTTATACCATCGACTAAGATTCTTTCGTTGCCATTGGTCTTCATAAGAAGATGAAGATGAAGAGAGTATTGAAACAATCTAGAAAATCAATCAATCTTTTGGATCTGTCCCATAAGCTCACCGTCTTTGGAATCACTGGAAAAGAAAGACAGAGACGGGTTAATCGGAAATGAAAGAGTCGAAATCGATGGTGTCCACATTCAAATTCCGTTGGATGTTCACAACTGACTTTTAGTGGAAGAAATTGATGACGATAATGCATTGTTCATGTTCAGATTCAAAAAAATCTGGATTCGATTACCACGAAGACGACAAGTACTAATCTCGATTGAATGCATCTAGGTCTCGTATTGGATCAGGTTTCATATTTGGATTTGGGATGAAGAAGATGAAGAAAGGGATGTTGAAGAGGGCAAGAAACGAAGAACACATGTCCAGATTCAAAAAATTTGGATTAGTCACTGTCCTTGGCGTCCTCCGACTGTGGATCGGTGATGGAATGGGAAAGTGTGGAGGAGAATGAACAAGAAACGAAGAACACATCTTCGTTCACAACCTGAGAGAGAGAGAGACGTTTAATCGATTAAAGAGGGAGAGAAATTTAATGACTTTTATTTTTGACGTGGCGTGTGATCGGATTAGCCAAAAAAATAAATATTAATTGACACATATACAATGTCAACCGGATTAGCCAAGAAAGAAACTAAAAGTCATGTTTATTTTTTTAATGAGATTTAATTACAAAACCTCTACTTAACAACTAACAAGAATTGTCATAAAGAAAAACTAAAAAAATAAATTAAATTAATAAACAAAATGACAAATATAAATTTATAAAAGTTCAATATATATATATATATATATATATATATATATATATATATATAGAGGCCCCATTTTCATTTTTGGTTGTTGTTTAGATGTTACGATATGTTATTATTCGTTAAAATACTATGATTTTTCAATGTTTATTGCTATAAAGTTTATCGTCGTTTTAAAAAAACTTCAATTTATATAATTAATTCATTACATGTTAGGGCATAAGGACATTTTTTTCCGGCTCGTCATGGGTATTTGAATCCCCAGGACCGGCTCTGGCCTTTATGTACACAAAAAGTAATGTTACATATTCACTAACTTTTGTTAGCAATTTAACTGGTCTATGAGAGATAGCCAAAATATAGCCCTCAACTAAAAATAGCCAAGGAAAACGTAGACGTGTAAAATCGTCCACTGTTTTTCAGAGGTGGGCTACAGTTTCGAGGTATTCTATAAAAAAAGTTCATTTATTTTAACGAAACCATATCTGAGTTAGTCACCTATGGTATATGTTGTATAGTATATGGTATCTCAAATCATAGGTACAAACCATATATTATTTCCTCAAAAAACTAACGTTTCCTAATAATAACTATTGTTTCATTCAGTTAACTACTATTTCCTTCGAATATCTACTATTCCGTTCTTGGCATTTAACTACTTTTTCTACCAAAATAAGAAACCAAATTCAAATTACCTATATTTACATACAACTATATCAATATACAAGATCGAAAAAAAAATTATACCAAAACCGTAGTTGATGTGGCCACCTACGGTGTACAAACTGTTGATGCACAATTTGTGCTTTAAAAGCTTGTACACCGTAGGTGCATACATCACCTACAGTTTCAGTAATTTTTTTTTCGATTTTAGCAATATATATATATATATATATATATATATATATATATATATATATATATATATATATATATATATATATACTCAATGTTAACAGATTTCAAAGTAAGCAAAAAAAAAACCGTAGAATACGAGCATTATCTGGTTGTTGTTTGGAGCTGCCATTGAGAGTGTTTTCTCTAACTTCAAACAAAGGAAAATGACTTAATTGAGAATTTTTCAATTTTATATATTTTTGGCTAATGAGCCATGAAATAATAGACGGTCCTCCAAACCGAAGCCCAAAGGCCTTAAATCGTAGTTCTTTAAATAGGTTAGGCCGAAACCATAGTTTTCTTACCTGGAGCCATAGTTCTCTTGATAACCTACTATTTCGTCGATTATTTTTAACTAAAGGCTATCTTTTTTAACTATTTAATGAAAAGTCATTAATGATAGCGGCTATTTTTATCATTTCTCTTAAGTCGTCCGGTATACACTACACGAACCGTCTCTTGGTCTACGTGACCACAGAAAAACGTCTGTGCACACTACCCCAACAAAAGACCACGACTTTCTTCTTTCCCAGAGCAGCCTTCTTCTTCTTCTTCTCTCTCTCTCTCTCTCTCTCTCTCTCTCTCTCTTCACGGGTACAACAACAATTAATGGTTCGTGGTTAGTGATGGTCTCGTAGTTCCATTGTTCTTGATACGTACGGCGGAAGGTCTTAATCTATATTAATCTATATAGAACTTCAAATTTTGGGTTAATGTATGTATAGTCCGTGTTTGGGACATATCTTATCTGTACAGATTGTCAGACTCAAATTTGAGAGAAGGACTACTCCTCAGTCCTCAACCACCCATTCATGGTTGGTAGTTAGTCACAGCTGGCTGATCTCTCTCTCTATCTTCATGCCATGTTAAAATCATGATCCTATTCAATCAAACTTCATAAAAGTAAAAATAGAAAATTAAAATGAAAAAGAATGGATAGGTGCATAAGAGGTTTATTTTAGTTTTTGACACAATGATTTCGAAACTGTTTTGAAATTATTACTTTTTATCTATATTTTAAATTTCTCATAAGGATATAACTTGTGGTTTTGCTTTTTTGTAATTTTGTGTCTCAATTTAAAATGGTTTGAAAAAGGTAATGTGAATCTTGGTTTTGATGATCACTCGGTGGAATTGAATCGGACAGTAGAAAATGAATTATCAGGATAATTAACTGTTATTTTTGTTTACATTTGGTTAATTCCTTTTACTCGTTTGAGTTTTGACCATTAAACTTAGCTTCATCGCAATAGAATAATAAAAAAAAAAAAAAAAACGAATGTGGAACTTGGCTCACTTTCCTCATTAATTCTGGATAAAACATTTTGACAACTCGGTTATCCTTTTCCGATTTGTAAATAACAGATAAATGGAAGCCCAAACTTTTTTAGAAATTTTCGTTTACAAATAAGTATTTTTTTTTGGTACAATTTTGTAAAAATGAATTAGATAAAAGAAAATGCGTTTTAATAATTTTAAATACATGAAAACGAATTTGTAAAAACAAATTAAATAATTTGTGAAAGCGAGAAGATATTAAAAAAGTAAATAAAAAAATAGCATATGAGGACATTGGAAAAAATATGTAATAGGACATTGAGAAAAAAAAAATAGCGTAATAGGACATTGGGAAAAAAAATACGTAATATGTCCGGGCAATAACTTAAAAAATAGACAAAAAATTCGAGGGTAGGAACCAGTAATTTAGTCAAATTTTTAACAAAAGGTATATGTTATAAATCAGATTTATTATTTAAAATAAAAATACACAGAAAAAGGACGATTATTAGTATCTTATAAACTTTATAAATAAAAAATAAAAATAACAGAACAAAAAGTTATATTTTATATACGTTCTTAAAGGTAGTAATTTTTTTTTCAGAAATAACATTGAAAAACGTAATATAAAATTAGTAATGTTGACTTGGGTTTGTTAATACCCATTGCCATAATCTCCATGGTTTTATACAATAACTTTACAAAACAAGTCACTTATATAAACAATAATTGCCAAAGCAGCAAGAAGCATTTAGACAATCAAAGAATACGAATTAACTTAAAAGTGAATGGCATAATCAAAAATGACCTACCATATGTTGTCCCGTTTCATCTCGAATTCCAGCTCCCCCGGATGCATAGTTTACGCCATTTATGATTTCTTCAACTTTTGCAGTCGCAAAAGGCGGAATGAAACTCTTGAACCCAAGTAATTGAGCTATTTATCACATAAGCAAAACCATGTTAGGACCTTGCATCACAACTAATGTTACAAACACACACACACACACACAAATATATATATATATATATATATATATATATATATATATATATTATAGAGAGAGAGAGAGAGAGAGAGAGAGAGAGAGAGAGAGAGACCAATGACATCGGCGATATTCCGGCCATTGGAGAACCGGCCAGTAGGGCCGTCGGGGAAGTCGATACCATATGGTGGAAAGTTAACTTTTGCTTGAGTACGAAGGTGGTTGTTGTTGCCGTTGTCCATTAAGGAATCGCCAAATATGAAGTAACAAGGGACCTGAGGCGGAGGGTCGCCATTGGTGAGTAATAATGTTGCTGTCGACACCAAGAACACAAAGAGGGTGAGTGTCGGCATCGGAGGTAAAGTGGTACAATGATGTTCAAAAGGGTGGTTCTACGTTTACACTACATATATCACCTACCCTTCCCCATACATTTAATATACATTCAACAATCACAACTACACATATCAACACGTGTTATTCACTAGAAATTACAAAATAGCATAGCGTTATTAATTATTTGCTTTTACATTTTTCTTACCATAAAGGTTTTATAAGATCCGGGATAATTACTTAAAAGGGTAACATATTTTTTTATCTGTGTATTTTTAGTCATTAATTTTTTTTATCTATAATGGTAACAACCGGTCATAATGGTAAAATGTGAACAGTTTTAATAGTTTAGTGGCAAATACATTGTTTATATGTATAAATTTTGTGTTATAAAATTATGCAACATATAAATTGACATACATTAACCATATACAATGTTTATAAAAAAATACATACGTACATTGATACATTATATATTGTTATACTTCATGTATTGACATACATCATATTAGTATATTACTATTAAAAAGGATATCGAAAATGAAAGTGAAGTTGTTTGGAATTTAGACATTTTTTAATTTACCCGGACAATTGATTTATATTTGAGATTGTATTTTCTTAAAAAGTTTGAATAATTATTGAAATTTATGATTATTTAACTAGATATATAGAGTTAAGTAAAACCGTTAACATGTTTTATGAAGTGTTGCGTCCAAACCACCTCATCCAAATTACCTTTACAAAAATATTTTTTTTTTAGAAAAAAATAGCTATATATTCAACAATTAAAACGACGCTATTTTTTTTTTCTTTCAAACAAGTCACTCATAATTTTAAAATGTTTTAGAAAAAAAAAACAATTCATATTTAAATAACTATTTAAAAAAAATAAGGTTTTTTATTTTCTTTCTTTAGAATACATCGTAATTTCTGACCATGAAACACAATTTCTTAATAGTTATGGGTAAGAATTAGGGGAGTGCGCGGTGCGGTTTGGTACGGTTTGGTGCGGTTTAGAGTCAAAACCGCAAACCGCACCGCATGTGCGGTTTGAAATATTTGGAAACCGCAAACCGCACCGCGAAGGTTGTAAACCACGTTATGTGGTGCGGTGGGGTTTGATACCATTGCAAATATATATATATATATATATATATATATATATATTAAATATTTAATAGTCATTGTTGAATATCAGAGTACATATATGGTTTGGATTACATTGCATAATTAGTTATCGTTCTACAGGTCATCAAATATATTACAACCCTTAACAAATTATACAAATTCAGTTATATATATATATATATATATATATATATATATATATATATATATATATATATATAATTTGGATCGATAATATATAATTATATATACGTAATTTGGTTCGATTTGTCTGAGTTTCAATGCAATATATATATATATATATATATATATATATATATATATATATATATATATATATATAATTTGTCTGAGTTTCAACGCAATTAATATATATATATATATATATATATATATATATATATATATATATATATATATATATATATATATATACATTGCGGTGCGGTGCGGTTTGAACCGCGAATTTGTAAATATAAACCACAAACCGCACCGCAAACGTCGAAAACCGCATTATGCGGTGCAGTTTAGTACGGTGTGGGCGGTTTGTGCGGTTTATGCGGTTTGGTGCACACCCCTAGTAAGAATTGTTCATTTTTTTGTTAAACCAAAATCGGATTGGAAATTTTGATTTTTTATTTTGGAAAATACCAAACCATTGGTTTTTTATTTCGGTTTCGGTTTTTCGTTTTATTTAATTTATTTTTTGGGGTTTTGTTTTTTTATTTAATAGATTTCTTCATCAACAAATGTTGCTAGAATTTAACAAAAATAAATAATTTGTTAAAACATAATACAAGAGAAAGTCTGTTCACATTTAGTCATTAAATTTTTTTTAGAGGGAAACGAACTTTTGATTTTGTTCACATTTAGTCACTAAACTTTTTTTCATTATCTACTTGTTACTGAACTATTGAAACTGTTCACATTTTACCCTTATGACCGGTAACAACTGGTCATAAGGGTAAAATGTGAACATTTTCAATAGTTCAGTGACAAATAGATAATGAAAAAAAATTTAGTGACTAAATATGAACAAAGTCAAAAGTTCGTTACCCTTTCATGTCATTATCCCTTACAAAATAGCATAGTGTTATTAATTATTTGCTTTTACATTTTTCTTACAATAAAGGTTTTATAAGATTTAGGGATAATGACTTAAAAGGGTAACATATTTTTTCATTTGTGTATATTTAGTCACTGACTTTTTTTTGTCTATATTTGCCCATTGAACTTTTTTTTTGTCTATATTTGCCCATTGAACTTTTTTTTTGTCTATATCTTACCCTAATGACCGGTTGGTGTGGGTTAATCCGGTTTCCTGCGGCCTTTGCAATTCCGGGAAGATTCCGGTCATCTTCTCCGGCGAGTATCCGACAAAAATTTTCAACAAGAACAATATTTTCCTAGAACTTGAATCCAAACACACATCCACACATAAACTCGATTTTGTAACCAAGAACCTCCATATCTGTTATGGTTCGCCGGAAACTCGAAGCAACTCCTCCAGATCTGTGATGAACATCAACGACATAGAAGATGGGTGGCCCTCCAGGGGTCGAGTGGCACTCATGGCATGAACCCATTAATTATTTGAGTTTTTTTATCTTGAGGTTTATTTTCAGATCTGATGAAGAACATAAACACACACATGAACACACACTGATGAAGAAGTCGGATTTTTCAGATCTGATGAAGATTTTCAAGTACCCATTTCATATCGGTGTTCGATTTGCAGAAATCGAAAGAACAAACTCAATGTATGTATGATTTTATAGAACTCGATTTTCAAGAAACCATTTCAGATGGGTGTTCGATTTCAAGAACCCATCTGTATGTGAGTATGACTGATTTCTTGTTCATGTTTGCATATGAGTTGTGTTTGTGCATATATATGTGTTTAGAGAACAAACTCAGAAAAAGATGAAGAAAACGAACACAAACCCAAAAAATCAAACTCAAAAACTCACACTCACAAATTGTTTGTGTTTGTTTTATGGATGAACCCGATTTTTATGTTCATAACAATTTCTGAGTTCATCATGATTTCTGATGAAGATAACATGATTTGTGTCGGATCTGATGTTCCAATGGATTTCAAAAACCCAGATCTGATGTGTGTGTGTTTTCTTAATCTGAAAATCAAAATATGAGTGTGATGTGTGTTCCAAATCTGAAAAAACGTTGGCCGGAGAAGATGACCGGAACCTCGCCGGAGAAGACGACCGTGAGATACGCCGGAGACTGACAAATCTATGATTGTAGGTCATAAGGATATTTTTTAAACAAATCAACAAGTTCAATGGGAGAATATGGACAAAAAAAACTTCAGTGACTAAATGTGTACAAATCAAAAAATACGTTACCCTTATAAGTCATTATCCCTAAGATTTACTCATTGTAAAACTTTTTGGCATGTCTAGACCATGCAATAAAGGTTATACCCTCCGACAGGCAGATTTACTCTTTGTAATTTTTAATTTATAAAAAAGGTTCCTGTAAAGTTTTTTTTTTCAAAAACAGTCCATATGCGTAATATTTTTGTATTTTGGCAGGTTTGACCATGTGTCCAAATCTAATTAAAAAAAATTGTCCCTATAATTTACAGAAAATGTCTATGTGCTTCACAATTCTGCCACCATATTTTGTGGAGTTGTCGCTTCTACTCCATGACTTTCATTAAATTACTGATCGCATGACTACACGTAAAAATAAACAATAAAAATTATTTTACCTAAAGAAAAATAAAATTCATTTACATTGATGGGTTTTGATACAAAATATAAGTTTATTTTTCACAAAAACCAGCAACGGAAGTCTTTACAAATTAGAAGTTTATTTTTAGTTTATAACAAAACCAAACCATCAAGGATCCATTTATGGAGGTTAGAATTAAAGAAAAACAACCAAAGAGTTTTTAGAATGAGAACATTTGAAGCATTTGAACCCACTTGGTTTTTGGGTGTTGATGAAGATAGAAAAAATCAAATAATATGATTGCTCTATATGTATCTACCATCAAGAGTAAGACACTTGGAATGCTAGTTCCTTCTTGTACTCTTGAGTGTCTTAAGCCTTTAAGTGCTTAACTCAAATAAGCACTAAAAGAGACAACTCAAGGAAGCTTTAAACCACCAAACTAACTTCAAAAAGAGAGAGAGGAGGGGGATCTAGTGAAATTTTGGCCATAAGCTTTAAGAGAAGGATTAAGACCAAAAACTAGCAAAAAAACATGCAAGACCATCATTTATATACCCCATGCAAAGTAAGGGCCTTATAATAAAATACTCTAAAATATGTGTAGCCTTTAGAAGAATGGGGAGACAAAGCATGGGGGTTGACAAGCAACCTCCATATTACTTTATTAATTTTGGCCATACCTCTCAAAAGATGATGGATTCTTTAATTTTTATAAAATCTTAGTTTATAATATAAAGTTTGTCTGTAGGTAAAAGACAAAAGAATCCAACTAGTCCAAAAGGTTGTGCATGACTTATTAATTCATACCATATGAAATAATAACTAGTTATACTCTCTTATAATTATTATTTTCATAAAACAATAATTATTCCCTAATTAAATTACAATAATTGATATTATTTATTAACAATCATATTAATAATAAATATACAAAAATGTGCCAACTTGATAAATGTGTGACCCTATAGGATCATATGTTATTAGCAATGTCACTCAATAATGATTCGTGGGCATATAAATTCAACAATCTCCCATTTGCACAAGGTTCATTATAGATTGGCTTAGACAGTAGCTGACGTCTAGCAACACGCTACTGCCCCTAACAATATATGAAGGGTGTCATCTCATCAACATCCAATTCCAGGATCTATAAGATATAATTGTTACTAAAGGTGTGGTATCAATTATTCCT